TGTGGACCCAAGTGCCATCGACGAGAATGGGAACATACATACCAAGAGCATCGTCTACCGCGAGACCTTCGATCTTTAAGTTTGACTGAGATTAACGAGTACATAATTTCATTTTTTATATCTTTAAGCGTTTGATGTTCATCACAATTTTGTTAGACAGCTGGGACTAACCACGCACACAGCGTCCGCGGAGCGGACGCCCAGAGCGCTAGTCTCACTACTAGTAACATCGTACCCTGTCCGTCTGTCATTCCGTCACGCCCCTCTCCAACTGCCTCAACCTCTTTGTTGGCATCTTTTTTCGAACCCAGTCCAGCAAGTACATTCCGATTCGGACCTCGGAACCATACCTCGAGTCCATGGACGTATGGGTCAGTCGGAGAGACCGTTGGGTGACCCTAGTGGTTTCTAGCACTAAGCGAGTCCCGGTCGCCGCTCGAGTGGTGAACATCTCCCGGAGACCGGTTCAAGTCCTTCCGCATACCAAGGTTGCTACCCTGACACATCGGGACCGGTTGCCTTTGGGGACCAACTTCGTGTGCCCGGGATCCTACCAGTACGACGAACGGGAATTTCTAGTCTACGAGAACACCCGGCCCCCCGCGGCGGAACGCCGCCTGGACGCGGAAGTCCGCGAACTCGAGCGGAATGCACCACCCATGGTGGACCGACCGACCGACCGACCTACCCAACCCCGACTCGTGTCCTCAGGTGGACCCTGGAGACTCGGGCCGTCGTACCCGAAGTCCCCGAGGCCCACCCAGTCTCGCGGTCTCCAGAACCATCGGGGGGGGCAAACGGTCGAGGAAGTCGGTCCCCGGGCCCCAGTGTGGAAACTGTTCCAAGCCCGATGACCCCCCCCCCCGACTACACTCGCTCCTGCGCCAGGTGCTGACTGCGTCATGACCGTCTCGGGTACACCCCGAGAACCAGTTGACCCCGGTCTCCAGGTCTCGAGGAGTGGATCCTCGAACCACGAAGCCCAGGCTTCCTCAGGGGGGGCGCTCCAGCGCTCGCAGCCTCTTCGGAACCCGTCCCGGAGCCCCCGAGTCCGCATCCATGGTCGCCCAAGGCGCATTGGCCCTGTCGTTCGTTATGGTGGAGATGGCTGGGGAAAGTCTCGACATGGAGTCCGCAGTCTATTATCACCAAGGTTCCGACTTCGTGCTCTTAGACATGCTCAAGAACCAGCTGGCGTACCTCCCCGACCTCAGCGATCTCTGGCCCGATGCCAACATCGACGATGCGATCGTCGGTGAGCCCGGCGAGCCAGACTCCGAAGAGGAGGAGAGGCTCCGGGCATTCCTCCAGAATCACCGAATGATTTTCTTGGGAGAAGGGAACGCACTTCCTTCCCCGGCCCGGGGCGTCGTGTGCGACCTGGAGGTTGGGGACGCAAAACCCATTTATATGCGGTCCCCGAGGATTGCTGCCGACTTACTGTCCAAGGTGTACGAGTTGCTCAAGCGTCTTTTGGAAACAGGTTTGATCGAGTACTCTCACTCGGAGTGGGCATCGGTCATCGTCCTCGTGATGAAGAAGAATGGTACCGATGTCCGCTTGTGCATCGACTACCGGTTGGTCAAACAGCTGATCAAGCTGATGAACTACCCCCTACCCCTAATCGACGAACTCATGAGCAACTTCACCGCCACTATGTGGTTCATGACTCTGGACATGGCGAGTGGGTTCTGGGCGGTTTCAATGACAGCCCGAGCTCAGCTGATCTCGGCCTTCATTTGCCCGCTCGGACACTTTCAGTTGAAGGAAGCGCATGCCGTTCGGGCTGAAGAACGCCCCACTGATCCACCAACAGCTTTTGGAAAATTGGCTTTGGGGTTTTGTACGGCTAACCCCGGAAGAGAAACGGCTTGTCGACCCGGAGGTGTTAGAGTGCTTGGGAATTTCTGCCGAGGACTCGAGCGACCCGGTATCCCAGGGCACGGACCCCGGGGGGCGGTGGTCTCTAGGACCAGCACTGACACCCTGTTCCACCAAAACCGGGTCGCCCCGGAACAGATGGGCCCAGTGCTGTCCCGGAGTTCGTACATCGACGACATCATCTACGAAGCTCCATCCTGGGATGACCTGTGCAAAACGCTGAATGCCCTCCAGTACCGACTTCGGTACTGGAACATTTTGGTGAGCCTCCCAAAGAGTGAGTTCGGGGTCAAGCAATGCAAGTACCTCGGGCATGACATCAGATCGGACGAAATCCGAACGTCCCCGAAGCTAGCGGGAAAGGTCCTCAACTTGCCGTTCCCGAAGACCCAGAAAGGAGTGCAGTCCTTCCTCGGGAGCATCAATTACTACGCCAAGTGTATCGAGGACATACCCGTACTCGCGGCCACTCTCTACTCCCGAGTTGGGAAATCGTCGCGGCGACGGGACACTTTCCGGAGCTACCGTGAATGAGGCCGAATACTCCGGACTAGTCAAGGGCATGAAACTCGCTCTAGACATGGGGCCAGGAACCGGTTGTGGTCGGGGACTCCCGACTCGCAATACAGCAACTCCAGGGCGCCATTGGTTGTACCCAGCCCCACCTGTTGAGGTTACCCCAGGAGGCTGAAGGGCTCCAAGCTAGGTTCAAGTCTTTACGTCTATTGCACGTGAAAAGAGATTTCAACGCTGCTGCCGACTTCATCTCCAAGCGAGTCATCCAGGACCAGGCATCAGTGGAGGTTGCGGACCCCGGGAATGCAAGTTGCTCCAAGGCCTGAATCTGATCCACGAAAAACTGATGAAGGACCCGAGCCCCCAGGAACAGTCGCTGGTGGAGTGCACGTTCCTAGCCACAGCTCAAAATATACCCAAGTGCTCCCCAAGAAGTTTAGAAGGCGACGCGTTCGCGGTGACGCGCTCGAAATCCAAACAGGTCAAGGCCACAGAGAACTCGGTTCCGGGAACCGGTATCGACGACTCTGGAACCAACGATTCTGGAGCCAACGACCCCGGGTCCGACGACTCTGGAACCGACGGTCCCGGAACCAAAGACCTTGGAACCAAAGACCTTGGAACCAAAGACCTTGGAACCAACGAGTCGGGAACCAACGAGTCGGAAAACGATGGTCCCGGATCCAATGGCCTTGGAACCAACGGGTCGGGAACCGACGGTCTGGAGGACGAGCCGACAGCCGATCCCCGGAGCCCGGACTGCCAAGACTCGGAAGAAGACCCCGAAGACGTCCGCAGAGAACGAAGGAGAAGGATTTGCTCTCACCAGGCAGACGACCCGGGGCTAGCGCCTTTGGTAAAGTTCCTCCAGGGCGAGACTGAGCACTTGTCCCTGAAACAAACGACACACTTGGCCAAGATAGCGGACCAGTTTGTGTTGGACGCCCGGGACGCCCTGTTCTATGTGAGTCGGAACACCCCGGAACGTCCCCGAGACACCGCAGACCGCCTCCGTCTGGTAATCCCCCAGTACATCCAGGAGGACATCCTGCACCACTGTCACGCGGGCTTCCAAGGTGCTTATCAAGGGATCATCCGGGCCTATGAGAGGCTGCGCAAGGAGTTCTACTGGATCGGCATGTTCAAGGACACCGAGCGATATGTCAAAGAATGCGTTGACTGCGTCACGGCCAAGGGACTACCCCGGAATCCGGGACCGTCGCCCGGTAACCTGTTGGCTACGCGACCGTTTCAGGTCGTTTCCATGGAATTCGTGATCCCGCTGCCCCGGTCCGCCCGGGGGAAATACGGCATTGCTCCTGTTTCAGTGCGCGTTCTCGGGGTTCATCATGCGCAAGGCCATGGCGAGCACCGAAGCGCAAGACGTGTCCGAAGCCTATGAGGAGTGCGGGTTCCGGAGGTTCGGGGCCAGTGAGATGATCCGTCACGACCGGGACCCGCGCTTCATGGGTCGGGTGTTCAAGCACTTTCGGGAGATGCTCGGGAGCAGGCAACGCGCCACTCTAGCCTATCGTCCCCAGGCCAACGGACAACAAGAGAGATCTGTGCAAACGGTGATCCGGAGCGTTAAGGCGTACGTGCAGACTGTGGACAAAAGTGACTGGGATGAGTTAGCCGAAAAGCTCATGTGGGCGGTGAACACCTCCTTGGACTTCACCCGACTCGACACGCCGTTTTACCAGGTGCACGGTTAGCATCTCCAAGGTACCGTCGATACCATGATGGGAGACGTTCCGCGAGACGTGCAGCTCCGGGACGCCCAAGAATGGCACACCAAGGTACAACGCCAGGTGGAATACGCGAGGGCCTGGGCCCGGGACCTCCAAGAAAAAACCAAGAAGCGCCGGGTCAAATACCACAGCCGCAAGTGGAAGCAGCTTACAGACCCACTGCAAGAGGGTTTCGAGGTCGGGGGATCAGTATGGTTGTACCTAGCCCGAGTCCGTCCCGGACTTACCAACACATCTCTGGCGCGGCCCGTTCCGAATCCGGGAAAAGAGTAGTGAATTCCGATACCCCCCTCCAGGTCGAGGGTACGGAATACCGGTTTAAACCTGGGTCCACGTTAACAGGCTGAAACCTCAAGCCAAATACCCAGAGCGGCCTTCGGGAATCATAGGCATCCCCGAAGACGATGACTTCGACGCTGCATTGCTCCGTGAAGATAGTTGGGA